AGTATAGTATTTCAATTCAGCTCGTTGAAAGCTTTCGAATAGGACGATAAAAGAAAGCTACCGCTATATAGAGGTCCATGCAAAAATATTGCTGCCACTTTGGCAGGGGGCAAAAAAGTTCTGCAAAAATCTCGCTATGAAACTTTAGCAATTTTCTTATAGATTTTTACAAAAGATTTCCCCAATGATCTCCCATTCCCTATCATGAGGAAAAAAAGCTGCCCTTCAAAAAAGTATTCAAACGATTGCAAAAAATCAACTTAGATTGCTCGTATTTCATTAGTTATAAACAACTTGAACAAGAATCTACGATTTACGACTCAGTTGCAAAAGTTAAAAAAAAAAATTCGAAAATTCTCCTAAATGCAATTTTGTATGCATTTTGTAGAATTTAGAAAAATAAACAACCTTCCCATATGTACCTTCTATAAATTCTCAGCGGTTATCATGGAAGTCACAAAAACGACCAATTTGCCTGACCGAGCACCACACTCTATGGAAAAATGAAACTTCTCTGGGGAAGAATATTGATTAAATTGGCTGTTCTAAGTGCAAGTTCTCCCATAAAGAATAAGCTTCTTCCGAGCCAGAAAACGCAGCCATGTCCTATTGCCATTGGAAAGCGTTTGAGACTCGATAAAGACACGAATCAACAGACGGACGCTATATTAGACAAACACACTGGTGTATTTCATTCATTTTACCTATAAAACAAAAGACTAACTATATTTATAATAGAAATAGCGTCAAATAGAGCTTCTTCCACAATATAGGTTGAGCAAATTTCCTTATGCAACACAAGTTGAGCGCACTTGTTCACACAACATAAATTTTATAAAAATATACAATTATATATATCAGCATGAACGACGTTGGTGAGCGTCGTAGTGTTTCCAAACGGTAGTTAGGCGTCTTCTCCGAGCGTGGACCATAATAAGCTCAATCAATCCGTGCCTTCTGTGGGATTGATTTGGGTCTGAAAAACCCGCCGATTTAGGCGTTTAGTCTCAGCTCAGAAAATAGCAGTTGGAGTATTGAAGTTCTACTTTCCATATAGCGACCACGAAGCTAGAAAACGGTTTATTTTTTTTGACTGAGTCCCTCTGTCCGTCTGCTCGACTAGTATTTAAAGCAAAGGAACCTTTTTTTAGGTTATAAGTCTTTTAAGCGATTTTATCATTATACATTTGTATGTATTCCGCGAATAAACATAGTTTCGACCGCTTCACTATTGGTATTGGTAGAATTGTATGCCACACAACTGTATAATGGCCAGCGGGGAAGCGTTTTGTTAGTTTTTGCCATTTTCAAGATAAAAGTGGCCTTTTTCTGTAGAAGAACCCTACCTAAAAGGTCAGCTGTGTTGGTCTTAATGGTCATCGTCTTCCAGCCGCAAACTAAAACGATCGGATCAGTCGTGTTCTACAACACGGTCCAGCTTATATATATGTATGCATATGTTATGTAATATAGAGTAAACCTGTTGAATAGGTCGATGGAATAATTGAGCCTGGTCTGGGCATACGACCTGTGTACAATGCATTGGACGCGCACTCTTAAAAGAGTCCTAATTTGAGAAGCAATTCTCAGATCTTATGATCGTGGAGCACTTCTATTCGTGTTTCTGGATAAACTGATGTTCTACACAAAGTGTGCACAATCGCAGAAAGATCTCGGAAGCCTGGCAACGCTTAGTATTAAACTGTGGTAAATTTTAGTTGTGCTTTTATTGGGTATGCTTCAATGAAACGCTCTTGCACTTTAATTTTAATTACTAAACAAGGATTTCGATAGCGTGCTTGGAGCAATACGCTGGTATTGCCGTTCGGTGCTAACGTACTATGCTTTTTTTCATAGATGTCGCTTGACGGATGTTACAGTAAGCCAGAAAACGCTAGTCAGCTATGCATGACAGCACACGGAAGAGCATAAGAGGAGACGTTCCTTGTCATCGGATTACTTCGTATAACCCTTACTCACTTATGCTATATATTTATGACTGTTGTGAGTGAACAAATGGGACGTATGATTGCTCATACTGTTCTCTTATAATATAATACTGCTCTAATACAACGTTTAGACGGAAAAAAACTAACAGTGGCTGTTAATGTACGTACACCCTGTAAGAGTAATGGATATTATGAGTCATCTTTTAGCTGCCTTTGTCCGGTCGCCATATTCGACGAATGGCTACGCTGAAAGAAACATAGTAACGTCATCACTTGGCCGTGGAACTCATGTATCGTCATGAAGGTCATACAGAAGTAGAACAGAAAGAATAAAAAAGAGACTGTTGACCAAAATCCATTTAAACCTTGTGCAACGTTATCTATACTTTGTATATCTACGATATCTATACTACTACTAAAACAGGGTGGTAACGTTGATGATATTGTTGTTGTATAACTAGTCCAGATAGATGCGTTCGATCTTGTTCAAAACGCTCACTTGACTGGCATCCCTAGGCGTATCGACTTTAAGTTCGAATCAGTCTTATTCTCCTCATCGGGTGGAGTCGAATGTTTGAGCCTACACCAGTGTAGCGTGTATGGCAATGCATTCTTCAATCGAACTAAGAGGGGAGAACAACCTAACAAGAGAGTTAAAGGTGGTCGGTCCTGCCGACAGTAAAACCTTTTCATACCCCATTTGTGACGACTCCGGTTCAAGCGATGCTGCCTCTACAGCTGACTGTAAATAGCATCGGTTCGTGTTGAGATTGGCAAGATGCTGCTTCCGGTACCGAGAGATTAGTTGATACGCTACGAGCTACTGCTACTGCTACTCTTGCCAGTAGGGAGGAATGTAACCAGTTTTTGGGCCTTGGGCCAAACATACGGCAAAAGAGTATTTGTCGGCTGTCGAAGGCCACATCTGAACTGTCATCCTAGGTTGGGTTTTTCCTCTCGAGCTAGCGATTAACCTGATTTCTGACATTTTTCGTGGGCGAATTAGTAATGGAGAACATAGATTTGAAATCTATTATTTACAACGAAGTTGCCCTTTATATGCAGAATCTCCTTTTTCAGTATCGACTTGAAATAGACTGTAATTTGTCTTCAAATACTATGGTTACTTTATGCAGTAGGGCATCGCTGCCAAGGTGAAAATAATGCAGGTTACCAACGAAGATGCTACATGGTCACACTGATGACGCGTCGGCTCGCTGGTCCCTTAGCCCTAGTTAAGCGCGAATTGTCAGGAGTGAAACACACTTTAAGTTATATGATAATTATAATAAATAACATGGCATTCTGTTAGTTGCCAATTTAGACCGATCGTATTTTATTGACACTAGACACAGCGGTTAAGGCGATTCAAAAAGAAAATGTCTAAATCTGTACAACATTGCCGGTTCTTGTATACCAAGTCCTCTGTCTTTTTGCGTTGACTTGTGTGGAAATCGATTGGTCTTCGCGGAAAAGTCCCGGCTAACTGAGCTAACTTCCTCCCAACAGTTCTCCATCGAGGCGACGACGGCGTGGCAAATTAAGGTGGAGGAGATCGTTGTGACGATAGCGCGTTATCGTATCGACAACGAGAAAAAAAAAAGAGACGCTTCATTTTCTATAGAATTTCTCATTAAAGTCGCAATTTTCTTTGTTGGACCTAGTGCCGACGCTCTTAGCAGGAGACTAAGCGTCTGTCGACATCTAAAAACTGATACCAACCTCCATTTCATATTTTTGGTTGATCTACCTTCTGGCACAGGTTTCGTTATAAATGTCAGCGCTTTTGATGTTGCTAATGCTGGCTTCACGTTGATTATTTACTACTAAAAAACAAACAAACAAACAAACAATATGGTGAAATCTCCAACACAATGTTTTCAAGAGTTGTTACAACAGTTGACGAAGTTCAGCGCCACTTACATGTTAGGCAACATCTTAGCACAGACCGCTACGGTGATCATTATGATATAACGTGAAGTTTCTTGTCTGTCTTTCGGAAAAGTTAACTTATGTGACGTTAGTGTAAGTAAGTTGACATCATACGCAGGTCGAACTGGCCATTTTCAAGTATTTAATTGAAATATATTTTAGTCGAAGACAGCGACGCATCTGAAAAGTGTGGACTGTTTAGAGCGAGCATCTGCAATTAGGCCGGTCTTTGACCGGTGTATATCTAAAGGTGCCGGAAAGGCTTCCTATATACAAGACGCAATGATTGACGACACAATGTGGTCGTTATTTTATCGGTATCTTATCTCTAATGCTTGATAGGTTGCACTCTACATTGTCTTTGGCGGCCCCAGTGTCTTCCCCAGAAATATTGGGCGGTCCAATAGCGGACAACTTCTAGACGGACGAGGTAGTATTTGGGCAGTAATCCTTAAAATGGTCGTTTTCGTTTACTTGGAAATGACACACATTTGAAGGCTTTTTTGTCCCCTTTGTATAGCCTTGCCTAACTTGATTTTCTTTCTTTATGCAAGTAATAGAAAATACCTCTTTTTTTTTCAACTCAGGTTATGAATAGGCTCATGTGGTTCGATTTTAGTTAAGTATCTGTAAAATAGCTTATATACACAATCAGGTCGACATTAGGCATAGTGATTTTGCGAGAACAAGCATTGAAGCTTGCTTTGAACAGCACATCAGAGTTTTTCGTTTGCTTGAGAAAGGTTTTTATCATTTAGGTCACACTTAAATGATCCAATTTTACATTGGAAGGTCTGCAACTGGCATCAGTTTCAAACAGGTGCAACCAACGTAAAATTTAATGAACTTTCGTTCTCAGCATATTATTTATTTAGTGGAGCATTAATAACGTGGCACTGAACACATAGAACGTACGTACGTATAAGTTACTTATTTGAGCGTATTTATTCAAATTGAGTTGTTATACAGTTACATCGACTGCAACAGTCTTTACCGATGAAAGGGAATGCAAAATGTAACCATGACTGGTTATGCAAGAGTTGATTTTTGTGTAGCTTTTAAAAGCAGTTGTTAACAAGTTTCGCACATTCATTCTGTTCATTGATGGACTAATTGCAGGCTGAGTGTGTCAGGGTTCAGATTGTTTGGTCGTGGTCATTTTGTCTTCGTACAAAATGGCCGACGAGTCTAACGGAGGGACCAATGGCACCTTCGATCCGGAGGACCCCGAACTGCAGGTAATGATTTGCAGATTATAATGATTGCCACGCATGTGGCTGTATACCTTTATCACCTTGAAAACTTCTATACAAATAGAGAGTAGTCCAAGGCCGACAGTCTGAGGCCCTGTTTTTCTGAATCTCAGAAGTTGACCTCCTGTCGACAGCCAGTGTTCGAATCTAAAACGTAACTTAAGGCGATTCATCATCATTATACGAACGTATCCAGTAAGTTCGAAAGCTTTTCCACCGTAAGCTTTTTCGATTTGTGAAATGGTTTCAACCCTTTGAAGAAGTGTAAGGCCATTGGCGCACGCTAATGTGTGATCGTCTCCATTTTTCCCTGTTTTATTTGCGCAGAGGCAGATGATGCGTCCAGCGGACATCGCGGCGGACATGAAAGAAATGGACCGACGAAAGCGGGTCGAGATGATCATGAACTCGCAGGTAAATTGCCCGGTATCTGACATATGTTTAGGTAAACACTTTGTCTATATAAATGGTTGCTACAAAATAAGCGGTGATCCGACCTGAAACGAATGAATTTTGAGTCGTTTTACTCTATTGGCATTCTGGTTATGAACAGCTGATATACCGGCGCTTCTTTTAGTTTAGTATGGATAAGTCTTGTCGTAGAGCTACGAAATGGTCTAGTAACATGTTTCGTCGTTTCGCCGTAGACAGCTACGTCTCTTGCATATCGAATACTTAACTAGTGGACTACTTTTGCTACTACGCTAAATTTGCGCGTTGCGATTGTACGAACGATCTTTTCCAGGTGTTCCGGGAGGAGTTGGAACGGATTGTAGAGAGTCAATTAAGAAGTGGCTATACGCCGGGGAATATCCAGGCCCTTCAACAGGTTAAAGCTAACCGTTGTTGTCTTGTATATGCTATACATAGGTGTATAAATATTCACAATTTTCCCTAATGGTCTCCCGATGCTTCGATCGACCAAACAAGGCGTTCATAATGAATTTGATTATTTTGGCTAATCATTGACTCCACTCGGGGTCGGGTAGAATAAAGGGATGGTAATGACCATACCATATTAAGCCGTCGATATTAATAGTTTACTTTTCCTAGGAATGGCAATTTTTTTCACTGTTTTCATGCGTATATGTGTGCGCGTGTGGCTACAGGTTACGGACATGCTCCTGCCGTCCTCTCAGAAGCAGCGCGGCTGCCCTTTGCTTCCGATCAATGACATACGCGGGGTTGACGGTCTTCGCTATTCACCGCCAGAGCGGGCTCTTCGTTGCAAAATGGCGGCGTTGTGTCGTCTGCTTGATATGTACGGATGGGCTGCTACGGCCGGTCAGGGCCAGTTCACGCATGCCACCGTGCGAATCTCACAGGATCAAGAACACTTCCTGATAAATCCCTTTGGCTTACTTCTACACGAGGTAAAAATCCTCTATTGCTGCGTTAAGCGATATTGGCAGGCAAACAAACAAGCAAAAGAAATATTTGATATTTCCCTTTACGAGGCGGCCGGTAATTTTTCGTGTCAAATATTTAGGTGTATCAAAAATGGTTTTTTGCATCATTATGATGAATTTCAGGTCCTTTTAGATTTAAAACTAATTGAAGATCTCCGGCTTACCTCTTAAAAATTCTACTCGAGCTACCAATAATGTAGACGGCCGATTTTAGACATGTTTATCTAAGTTCGCTTAATGCAACGAGATTAGATTATAGCTCACTTCTGCTCAAAATACGAAAATGACGCATCGTTTCCTACCAAGATCTAAATGTATTAATAAATAAATAAATAAATGTTCTACCAAATAAATGTTCGAGTCTAAAAAAACAGGCTAATAACAGATGGAGACATGCCTGTTGCCACAGGCAGCTGGCCAAAGTCTGCCCCAATTTAGGTGCCGTACCCTTTATAATATATATACATAAGCAAGTGGCTCACTGTGTCCTACTCTTCGTTTTTCCTGCCTGGCTGTGTAAAGGTGACAGCATCATCATTACTCAAGGTGGACATGCAGGGTCAAGTGATCGATTCCGGCACCACGACGTTTTCGTTCGCACGCGGCGCATTCGCCCAGCATGCAATCGTACACGCACATAGACCAGATATTAAAGCCATCGTGCAAACCAGACATCCAGCTATCGTGACGGTGCGTATAATGTGTATTACCAACCTAGGAAAAGCTTTCACAGACGAGTATAGAATAACAGCTTAGTTCTGCAAACGAGTGAACTGTTTCTAATTTTGTATTTAAACCTGCACCTAATTGTTTTTTTTTCACTAATACGATCAATTGACTTCCTACCCTTAATTGACTCCCTACTAATTACAAAATGTATCTATTTGCACAGGTCTCAGCAATGAAAAACGGTCTGATGCCGGTATGCTCGGATGCCGCACTTCTCGGTGACATCTCGTACGCAACGGCTGGTGTCGATTGTGAAGGCCTATCAAAGGCACTTGGTCCTGTGAATAAAATTGTTTTTATCAGGTGAGGGAGTATACGCTTTGTTGATGCATAATAGCTTGAGCTTTTATTATGATTAAATTAGGAATTAAATATTGATTTCCTTTTAAAATTGAAATTTTGTCTAAGGGGCTTCATTATACAAACGAAATTTTTTGTTACATACATACAGGGTACAACGTGCAGATGAATTAAAAGTCGTACGAATTGTTTTTTTACCTGTCTCACCGTTTATTTATTTGGTTTAGTAAAGAGGATCTTCTTATCAGATGACGATGAAAGTTCAGGGCTGTTTCCATGGTTAACACTCGCGTTTGTGTATGGTTTTCTTTGTCGAAACATATACAGAAATCAAGGAGCACTGATTGGAGGCGACTCAATTGAAGAGGCGTTCGCTTCGTTGGCAGCGACGGTCTCTGCATGTGAGCAGCTTCTTGCCTTAGCACCTCTCGGTCTAGACAATGTGTACGTGCTTAGCCCTGAAGAAATGGCCGCAATTCGCGAAGAGCAAAAACAACAGACCAAGGATCATGAACCAGCTATTCCAGCCGATGAAGATAAGGTAAGGCGATTTCGCGCTGCTATCGACAGATTAAATGTAAGACAGGAGCTTCATAATATAAGATTTACTAAAATTTGTGTTGAGTACACTGAAATATATCCCGCAGGTTATGGGGACGGACGGCTAATGGGCGACCTCATTAGGAGTTGGGCATACATGCTTTGTTCGTGTGTCGTATTGTCTGTTATCACAAAATTCTCGAATAGTGTAATCGATTAAACGAGATCAACGATCGGTAACTGATAAATTTGTTGTTTACCTATGCCGTGTTACATTGGTTACTCTAATTTGTTTCAGGATAAAATGGACTCAAAGCTGTCGCGTCGATTGCGTCTCTGCGATGTGGCGTTCGAGGCTCATATGCGTACACTTGACAACAGCGGCCTTCGTACAGGTTATTTCTATAGACAACCGTTATTACGGGACGAACGGCCGCGTGCCAAAAATGATGTAGAGGTCCCGCCGTCCGCATCGTCATTTGGCCAGAGCTTCGACGAGGACAAATGGCTCAGGTAAAAGTTTATTGAAAGTCTTTTCATTCCTGGACAATATTTTTGTGTTCCGATTTCGAATGTTTCAGACATTTTATTATTTAGATTTGTCTTATTCTCCATGGTACCTTTTTGAACGCGTGCAAGGACAAAGCCTAAGGTACATATGCGCAGGAAGCCCTATCGTTCGCCTATGTTCTTTTTGAAGGCATATTTTTGGCCTGGCTGTTGAACAGATATAATATAGAGGAAAATTGGGTGGCACACAACGTAAAAAGATGCAACCGTTCCTTTAGGGCCAACTTATATATATATAGAGGCGGTAGGACTATCTTAACGCTAGGGTAGTGCGGTCAAACAGCTTGGCATACTATGACGCCATTATAGTGTAAGGTTACATTGTCTGTCTCATATTTTGTATCGCTGCCGATGTATTATGTGATTATATTTCTTCTTATCGTGATTGTGACTTTTCTGCTGTTGATCTCCAATTTGCTTATAAGGCGTATTCTGGCCTTCGCTGTTCGAATCGCTTTTACTCTATTGGTAGTTCCCGGAAGACTCGAGCGGTCCTTGTAGCAAGGGGGTTACAGCTGTGGAATGAACCCTTTCTACTGTCTAGCTTCGAACCTCCTATAGCAAGCACTTTTACCGATGCCCAAATGGGAGAGAAGCTAGTTAAAAGCGCCGAGTCACACGCACAGAGATCTCGAGATAGCCGGACTGCATAGACACAACAACAATGACACAGAAAGGGCTAAAAGGCGAGGCAGAGTGGGCAGAGCATATCGTGTACCTACATAACTGCCTTTCTGCATGCAGCAGGGCGCGCGGCTAGATGTGTGCCTTTGTGCAAACATGTATATGGACGGAGAGTAGGAAATATGAGCAGCTGGGCAGGCCCGGCGAGCTCTGGCCGGTGGTGGAAGTGACACCCAGAGCGTTTGAGTTACATAAATGGGTTAGAACTCTTTCGTTTGCTTCATCGCCGTGTTACACATGGAGTACCCCAGTTCCGGAGCTTTCAGAGGTGGTCACTAACCGTTTGGCTGTGCTATTTTTGATGATGATTTTCATAAAAGCACTTAACGGCCGATCAGAAAAGTCATACAATACTTTTTGTTAAAATATAGGCTCCCTCCCTATATGTACTGTCCCTTTTTGTTAGATATTCAAGATACAGTGTCTGTTCTAGATTGGTATAAAGCATTTGATATGATGCAAACAATATCTTAAAGGTGGCAACGGATTATTATTAATTTTGAACTTTCAAATTGGGAAGTGCCTCTCTACAACCTCATACGACACTAAGATTTCACTAAGAATTCTACATTTTATCCTTCACTCGGTAAGGCTAACTCATTGTATGTACCTCTATGTTGGCATTTAATCGCTGCTTGTGATTGTCACTTGCAGTCCCCTTCGCAAGCTTCTCGACGCGAAGAAGACACAGGACAAAATGCGCTACGTTAACTCGCCAAACTCGTACCAGCGCGTAGAAGTGCTTGAAACTGGGACGGCGGACCCTCGAAAAATCACCAAGGTACAATAATAAACTACGACAAGCAACAGCAATCGATCAAGCAGCAACAACAGCCACAACAACAATAACGGAAATACCATCTATAATTACAGACAATTAAAACATTAATCGGTTATTATTGGTTTTTCAAAACTCAACCTCAGAGTGAAAATGTGAGGCTATGAAAACAAAACGAGTGCAGTCGTCACCTTTTGTCAACGGTAGTTGGCCAAAACACGGAAACCTGTAACGCAATATTCAAACAATGATTACTAAAGAAGAAACATGGCCTGGGCCCTATTTGCACTATATCCAAGTGAATGAGTTTTATCTACCTATAAGCACGAGAACGTGCCATTTTAAGGGTCACTTTTTGATGACAATATCCCCGATCCATATCCGTGGCCGTATTTGCAAGATTGTCAATGTTGCAGTAACCGACGTAGCTGGGAAAAGGCTGTCCTGTTTCATCGTACTTGAAAGCATATGAGCCATGCTTTCATGTCGTCAAAGCTAACATCTCTATGGAACTCCCTAACTGATTCATAGATTTAAATAGCTGCTAAACTGCGCGCTTCATACGAACAAATTTCTTTTTCCAAATTCCATATCGGAATACGTTAGCCATTGTTTTCGCGGCCAGCTTACACGCCTGCACCGGATGAAGTGCCCGCAGAACACCGAACTGAAAACCTTTCTCATACTCTGGCGTTATAGATGTGGCCTGGAACAGCTTCAGATATCGAGGCCACCTCAAACTGCTGCTAATTAGGCTCCTGTCATGAATCGAAGATGGCAGGCCTGCTCATTTCTTCAGTAAGACATCTGTTTGCCTCGAGTTAATTGGAAGTTCGATTGTGTATTGATCGTGCTCAGTATTGGCAAGGCTGAACGGTAGTAGGTCAAGAGAATCCTCGTCTAAATAGATAATACGAATTTAGTTGACCGACGGGAAGTCAGGCAGGTTTTTCTATGATCCATGTTAACTGCCTTGACGCAAAACAAAAGTATGCCCCATCAGTTCCCCACTGTGCGACCTTCTTATAATGCATGGTTGCTTCAAAGACTTGCAACGCCTTGATCTTCATTGAAGAAGACAAATGCCTTTGTGATGTGATAATAGGCAAGCGGAATCAGCTCAATTACCTCAACGGATATGTAGCCCGACAGTAATGCATAGAACCTTCCTCCAACCAGTAACTGAGTTGAAGAAGCATTGCGGACAAAAGATTCTTAAAATTAGATGAACGTGTGTACTGAGTTTATTCAGGCAGAGTCGTTTGTTGATGTGCTTTCATTGAGCTGCTTTCGTATGAAGTTATAGCCCGAACTGACCCGAATATAGGTGGAACTATTAGTAGTAGGTCTGACATCAGGAAATGTGGGTTATAGTTGTACATTTCTGACTTGTAAGGCCATTAGATTCCTCTCTGTTAGGTCGCAAAGTCCCAGCAATCGTTTTTAGAATTGTCATTCCTAAGGTGACTCGTTGGCAGCTGACGCTTTCGAGGACAATTTCCTTTAGTGGGTGTTGCAATGCCTCGGGGCACGCATGTAGAAAGTGTATTCATTTAACAAGTTCTTTAACGGGTCGGCCCACTATAATGAGTTGTTTTGAACCGCCTGGTTATTGTAGAACTAAGAGATACTCCTCAGAGACAGTATCTGGTATGCAAGTTCATAGAATGGCGGCGTGTGGGTGGGCATACTTGCTTTCCAATTTGCCTTGCTTGCCCTTGTGCGTGGCTATTTAAAAAAAAATTGCCCAAATTAAGTGGATCCAGATTGTCGGACATCAAGATATCGAAGCTTCAGCATACCACTATAGAAGTGCTACGTTTTGCCCCCATTTAATTATAAAGCTCTGTTCATAATCGAATCTGTCATAGTGGCTAGGTTTCTTAGTGAGGTCAATGAGATTTCTCGGTGCAGGATTCCCGCGAGAGGTCTTAGGTAGACTGCCATATATAGACGCTCTCCTGGCTTGTAAGCAACTCCTAACGATGATGAATTTAAAGAAAAGGGATAGATATGCATATATGTCAGCAACAATCTGGAATATGTACTGCACCCATAGATTAGTGATCAAAGCCGTAGAGTAGAATTTACCCTCTAACCGGTCACTCTCTAACATTGCAGACACCTTTGCCTTTTGCCAGCTGTTTTTGTCGTTATGAGCAGAGTATTATGAGTGCACCGCTAACCGTCCCGTTCATTACTCGATAAGTGTAGCAGTTGAATAAAAATAGCCATAGTTCAATGCGCATATACATAT